CTATTGGACTTGGTTTAAGCCTCAAAATGAGTTAATGGTATAAGTTTTGAGTTTTGGATACTTGAATGCTTGAAAATCGCTTTAAAAACTGACTTTTGCATTCAAGTGTTTAAAATTCTCATACAATGTTGGATCATAATGAAACTTATATCATTAATTAGCTTATTGAATAAGCTTTGTGTAGGCATATAAATAAATTCAATCGAAGATCGAATGCGAAAATAGTGCTCGTTCGAAATTCATCCCAAAAAGCTGTCATGACAGCATTTTACTGTCATGGAGACATACGCCACAACACATTGTTGCGATAGCCATGGAGCATGTTACAGTGGCCAAATTTTCCTCTTTGTGCCACATGCCGCGATGCATACACTAAAATACTCAAAAATAATATTTTTGGCCCTATTTTCAAGTGTTTTGCTTCCCAAAACTTTTCCATACTTTCAATACCTTTATAAATCATTAAGTTTAAGCTTAAACTATAAATTTAAAAGGTTTTTATGGGATCCCAAATATTCTAAAATTATTTCTAAAAGATCATTAGTTTTAGCCCATATATATAGTTCAGGAGCAATCCTTGCTCCTAATTATGATTGTTTGTTGTGATTGTGTGGTGAATTTTGATAATGTCAAGGCAAGCATTACATTAAGTGTTAAGCACGGATTATTTTGCATAATCATATAAGGTGTAAGTTCACTTAAAGAGAGTAGAGATTTAAATCCACGTGATAAGGTAGCTTATTCGAAACTCAATGGCTTGTCTTTATATTTTTATTGTCCTACTTGTTCAAAATGAAGGACTTAAATTAACTAGTTTTTACTTGTTCAATGAGGAAATTATCTTAGGTTCGACACCCTATAGTGTGAGATTTGAATTAGATCGTGATTCACAAGTGAGTGCAATAGCCTTGGCCAGGTAGCTTCTCAAAAATGAAAGGTTTAGATAGTCTAATCACATAGACAAATCCCTCAAAATAGCCTATAGTTTCATGTCAAAGGTATCAAGAGGATATAAGGATGGTATTGATTATGTATACGTTATCATGACTATATGGTTGTTATTATTGTAGTGTTACATTTCATATTGAGAGCACATGATTGTTAGTATTGTGACTCTCACATTTTATGATTATCTAGTGACACAGTTGTTTGTATTATGACTAATTGAAGTTATTGTAAATATGTGTTATATAACTTGTGATTGTGCCCATCCACATGATTGTTAGTGTCGTGGTCAAAGATAACATGTGAAAATATGTTTTTGCCACTTGCATTATTGTAATTGATTAACATGCTTTTGTATAAATTAGATGCACCTTTGTTACTAAGTGGTCTCTCTCTTAAATATTTACAGGAGCTACCTCAAGTCAAGATAGAGGAAAAGCACCAAAGGCTAACCAAGGGAAGAACATTATCAAATTGGGTTAAGGAATATGTAAACTTCACAATGCATAAGAAGGATGAGAACATACTATTGTAGAGTCTCTTATATAAAATGAGTCATTCAATCACACATCTAAGTACATGCAATAGTATTAGAGACATACTCAAAGTTGGATTAGTTCAAGAACTGTTGCAACTAATTTTGCAGTAAGTATTCACTATTTTTTTATAATTGATATTCTTACTTCTTAATATTTTTTTAAACTAATTTCAGGCAAATATATCAAAAGGTTTATATAAGTTAAGTCTTCAAAACCCTCTACATATTAGTTGCATTAAGAGATTATCAAGAAAGGCTTTGTCAAGACCAATGCAACATATTACTTGCATTAAGGGAGCAACGCTTGACAATGGTCTCTTAATGTGCTCCACCTGCAATAGGCATGTCACACCTGCATATTTCTTAAGGCAACTAAAGTAGGAGATGTGGAGGCCATTTGAAATGGAATGACAATAGTAAAACTAAAAGGTGTATATCTATTGCAACATTCTCCTTAATGTACAATAAACTTATTTGTAACCCCTTGCAACCCCCATTTATTTTCCTATTAACCCCCCATTTATGTACCTGTTATCAATTTACAAATCATAGTAGTATAAATAGGACCCTTGTTTCCTTATACAGCATCTCAAATTCAAGCAATAAAGCAAAATATTTCATAGTAGTATAAATAGGACCCAATGCCATTGAATATGAAGTGGAACAAGACTAAGGAGGTCTTTCTTCTTCTAACTTATTTACTTAATCATATTGTATGCCCTCATCATCCTTGTCCTACCAGTTTAGCTATCCAAATATTGAACAATTCAGCACATTCACTTCTTTATTTGATGATTCAATGTTATTTGCATTTGAATACAATGATTATACATTTGAACATGGAGGGCTCTCAAATAAAATATTCACGAATCCTCAACATTTGATCTCCTGTATAAAGTCTTCTATTTTTTATTTGAATACCACCCTAATTGTACCAATCACAAAATCATCAGAAGCTCAACATGAAGAGCCTACAAGATAATAGCAATTGTAACCATGGATATCAGAATCGGACCAGATCGGACTGGCCGATTCAATCGGGAACCGGCCAGGTAGCCGATCCAAAACTAACACATAACTGGGGGAGAAGAGAACCACTTGCAAACTGCCTGAACCAGCTATGAGTCAGGAGAACTGGCAGTTTGAATGGTTTAAATGATTTACTTTATTTTTTCTCTCTCCAAATTGACAAATAAGCTATTGCTTTTTTTTCAAAAAACCATTTTTATTTTTAGATGAAGGAGACAGAAAAGGGAAAAATGCAAAGTAGCACACCTCTCAATCTCATACTCTCGAACCTTAAATCTAAATCATTGTGGCTAAAATCTCTTTCAAGTTGCAAGAATTAAGCACAAGCCTCATTTTCTTCAAGCGCATTCTTTGTGAATCACTGAGTCCTCTTCATTCTTTCTCATTAGTCATCACACTCGTGCTTTGCATTATCAATCTCTCTCTTCATCTTGCGACTGAAGCTCTCTCTTGATATATTACCAGTCGCACCTAACAAGCTCGTGGTGCACTAAGTCTTTGAATTAAATGATTGTCTTTGGGGACACTAATATTTGTGTAGCTCCTAGTTGTTCTGTAAGCCATAAGGAGTTAGCCTTATTGGTCCAAGAAAAAATGAGAAGAAGTTGTGAAAAAGCAAAACTGTCTTTGTGCACACAAGCTAAATCATGTGAGAAACCAAATATAATAAATGTTTTAACTTTTTAGGGGAAATAGTCAAATAAATGGAGGCCACAAACTTTAGGACAGTGTTGGTGGCCTTAGAAGGTGTTTAAATTATATTACTTAAATTAATATTTACTATAATTATAATTTTTAGCATATAAATATTTAAAATATATTAATTTAATTACAAACGGTCCGACTTCGATTTGACTCTGGTCCAACCATTAAACCGTAAACAAATGCCTTGACTGGTTTAATATTCGATCCGATTTTAATAACATTGACCGTAACGTGTTTTAAGAAGACTAAGATGTGACATAGAAAGCCATTATATATAAATTATGTTTTGTTAATGTAAAAATATTTGATCTTTAATTATTTTAAAAAATAGCACTCCCTTTATTAAAAAATATAAGACATTTTTTAAAGGGTTATATGGTCTTTTAATGTGTAATAATTATTTTTTTTAAAGTGTCCATATTGAATAAATCACTTTATATTTATTTTAGAGTAAAATACTCTATTAAATAGAGGTGAATATGAAAAAATAAGGTTAGTTTGAAGACAATTAACTATTTTATTGAAGACGAGATTCGGTTAAAAATGCCTTATATTTTTTAATCGAGGGAGTAATCTCATTTTATTTTTTTATATTCTTCAAATAATTATTTATTCTACTTCAATTTAGATTAATTACAAAAAATATTACTATATGAAATAAAAAATATAGTGGTAGCTTATCATTTCATTAATGATTACCCCATCAATTATTTTTGTAAAAAATAATTCAGTAATCATAAAAATAATCATTTTATAATTATGATTATGTTAATGAAATTGATGATTAGCTAATGATGACTTGGGGTTGGAATTGGGGAGGAGGAAATCGATTTTAATGAAGGCAAGTTGTGAAAATTAGATTCAATCAAATTAAGCTGTGTGCAAATATTCTACCTGCCTACCAGGCTGATATCAAACCATTTGTGGTTCTATAACATCTTAAAAAATATTTTTTAATAGTATCTTGGTAATTATTTTTTTATGTAATATGTTGCTTTTCAAATCATATTAGCTTCTGTTTTTTCAAAAGAGTCTGCACGATCGTTTGTATAAAACTATTAATGATAACAGAAAAAAAAGAAAAGAACAGAAAAGAAAACAACTCTGGGGTTATTCACTATATATTCTCAGTTATGTACAGCCTTATTTAGAAAAATTGCAAGCAAATAAACACTTGTGGAATTGTATTTGTAATTAAATATTTATAATTCTCAGGCTAAAAAATAAATAAATATTTGTAATCAATAGAAATTTTATTTTAGATATTAGATTATTGATAATCATCACTGTCATGTGTATATAAATTAACAAAGAGTAGGGAACAGAGGGCAATCTTCTGTCTTCTTAAAAGAGAGAGAATCTCTTTCTTATCTTGTACCATTGACACGTGTCCATTTCTTTCTTGAAGAGTATTCAAATGACAGTGCAAACTTCAATTAATTATTGAGAATACCAATAAAAGCACATACACATATAAAATGAACAAATTCATGTGTTCTTTGTTGTCAGAGTTAAAGATGATAAGAATGGAATAAAATAAAAAAATAAATTATTATTTTTTATGTGATAAATATGATAAAATTTAATGCTATATGCTATAAATATAAAAATCATCATATTTTTTAAAATTTCATAAATCATGACTCACAATTTCATAAATTAAATTATTCTTATTTTTTTATTAATATAGTTAATTTATTCCCTTTATATCTTGATCATTTTATTTTTACTTTCATTAAATAGGATCTCAATTAACTACAACTAATCATTAAGAAGACACCACTGAAAAATCTTTAGATACATGCATTAGATTAATCATAAATAAATATATAAGCATGTCGAGCACAAACTTCACTAAGAAATATATACTCGTCATTTTTATACATCTGTTAAGAATTCACTTGATTTATTTTGAGAGCCTGGCTTAAGATTTGAAGAACGGAAAGCATTTTGGGAGTGTTGAAAAGCTGAAAGTGAAAATACAAGGAGGGCCCACAGTCTTTGCCTTGTCACATTCGCACGAAACTTGAAATTAGGACGATGAAGAGTAGACGTCGGATGCGAGCCTGGGCTTGGGGTGCACTGAGAGGGGGACCTTGCGTTGAAGGGTTATCCCGTAAGCCTCCTCCATGTTCAGCTTTTGTGGGCTGAGCCCATCTGCCAACTCCCACTCAAAAGCATGGGCCAAGGTTGCCGTCAGAAGCTGGACTGTTCGAAGCCCAAGGCTCATGCCTGCACATATCCTCCGCCCCGCACCGAACGGAATTACCTCAAAGTCATTGCCCCTAACATCTACACCCGCCTTCTCGCCGCCCGGCAGGAACCTCTCAGGCTTGAACACTAACGGGTCGGACCATTCCTTGGGGTCACGAGCTATGGCCCACACATTCATCAACAGAGTGGCTGCTTTTGGGATGTGGTACCCGAAGATCTCACAGCTCTCCGCTGCAATCCTTGGAAGCGAAAGAGGGGTTGAAGGATGAAGACGGAAGGTTTCTTTCACAAAGGCTTGCAAGTACGGGAGATTCGGCAAGTCCAATTCGCTCACCAGCCTTTCCCGGCCCACGACAGAGTCCAATTCTCTCTGGATCTGGGCCAACATTTCAGGGTGTCGGATCAGCTCTGCTATGGCCCATTCAGTGGTGCTTGCCGACGTGTCAGTTCCAGCCGCAAACATGTTCTGCAAAAATTATTCCGGTATATTATTTTAATAAATAAAAAAGCAGGTGCAGAGAAATTACTTAATAAAAAATTATAGGGGAGTACCAGAAGTAAGGCTTTGATCTCGATGTCAGTGAGCTTGGTTCCCTCCTCGCCGGGAACCTCCTTGAGGGAAAGCAGAGTGCTCAACATGTCCTTGTGGTGGTCGCTCTTAGAGACCCGGTGTTCCTGGATGATGTTGGTCAAGAAGGCGTCGAACCTTTTGTGGAGCTTCTTCATCTTGCCTTGAACTCCTTGAAGGTCCAGCCATTCCAACGCCGGGATGAAGTCGCCAATGTTGAAAACTCCGGCCAGCACCATCATCTCCACCACCATCGACTTGAACTCGTCTGCCCGAGGATCGCATCCTTCGGCCCCGTCGTTGAACACGCGCCGCCCTATCATCTGTCTCCCTAGCGCGTTGGTGGTGCACACGTTGAGCAGTTGACCCAGGTTCACCGCGCGGAACCCTGCTCTTGCCAGATTACGTGTCAATCGTGATGCCTCTTCCTGCCAATATTTTCATTCCGTTAAATAAGGCGAGCATACTTGTTAAGGCAAAAATCAGGCAAAGTTGGTCAAAAATCAAATGAGTATTTATTATGATTAATATTTTTAAAAAAAATTATTTACGAATTTTGTAAAACCAAAAGCATTTGAGTAAATGTTTAATTTTTGGTGATGTGTATTTTTTTCCCCTCGTGAGAAGAACATTTTTGGGATGATCGGCCATTGTTTTTTATTTTTCGTCAGCTAATTTTTTTTATAACCATAACTTCTCTCCAAGAAAATATTAATATATCAGGATGTCTAATTTTTTTGTTTGATGATGTAATGATGACTACAATTTTCTGTCAGCTTAAAAGAACCCAAATTTACAACCGCTGAAAGCGATATGTGATCAATTTTGTCAGTTTTAATTAATTGAATGGACTTTGTGATCGATAGTTATAAAAACAAGTACATCCAATAAGATGCAAAGAAATAAAGAATTAAATTAAAACACGTAGAGGTACAAACATTTACAGGTTCAATTTGGGAAAAAAGGTACCAAAAATAAAAGTTTCAAAACAACACACCAATTTTTAAAATAGACAAATAATGAATTATATTAACAAAAATAGTACTGTTTTCATTCATTAAGTATAAACATACTCCCTCCATTTAAAAACGGAAAACATTTTTTTCAGGATTAAATGTTAATAAATATAAGATATATTTAGTATTTTTATAGCATAGTCATTGCATTTTTTTTAAAGTGTCCCTAATAAATAAATGACTCTATATTTATTTTAAAATAAAACACTCTATTAAATGAGAGTAAATATGAAAAGATTGTGTTAATTTAAAAATAAATAAATATTTTATTAAAAGATGATATTTAATTAAAAATAATTTACATATTTGGTCGGGCGGAGTACATGTTTTCCGTGATTTTTCTAGTACATCTCCTAATCAGCCTTTTCAAACGTTAAGAAAAGAACTGGAGTTCCACCCCAAGGGTATCAACTAAGGTTTGCAATATCTGGGTAAATTTTTCGATATTTTTACTTATTGAAAGTAATTAACACCATCTTTCTTTAATAGAAATCTTAATGGTGTTTGAAGTAACAGCATCTTTTTATTCTATATTTTTCAAGATATAACATCGAAGAATCGATATGTTTCTTAAGTGATTGATCGTCTAAATTAAAGAATACTTAAAGTTGTTAATTAACTCTCGCCATCCAATGGCTATAAAATTCAAGTTGGGAAGCAGTTGACTAAGACGAAATAAACTATTATCCGAAAGTCCCGCGAACACAACAAGAAGAAGTAACAAATAGGCTTCCATTTCTTAAGGGAATTGAACATACATTGATGGTGATAGATCAATTCGATGAAGCATTGCAAACTCTAAATAAATTATTTGTTAGTCAAACGATAAAGAAAACTTCTTATCATCAACTTAGATCTCAAAAAGAAAAAACGATAAAAAAAAATTAAAAATAGGATACACAAAAGCAGAATCATGTATGTACAGTTGTAATGGAAGAGTCTACTAACCTGACGGAGATGTCTAAAGTCGTCCAGGGCCTTGCCGGAGAACAGGTGAACTGCAGAGATCTTGCGGAGCGCGCGCCACCGTGCACCATAGGGAGCGAACACAAGGTCGTGATAATTATAAGCCATATACTTAGCTCCGGCGTTGGGCGGCCGGCTCAAGAAATTGACGTCATGAACCTTCAAGAACTGCTCGGCGACGGAGGCGGAAGATGCGACAACGACGTCAACGAAACCGAGGCGGAGGCGCATGAGAGGGCCATAGGTGCTAGCCAAGTCGGCGAGGGCGTGGTGGGGGACGGGGCCCAGGTGAGGGAGGTTTCCGACGACGGGCCATGGCCTGGGGCCTGGAGGAAGAGGGAGAGAAGGTCGATTGAAGAGCTTGAGAAGGCGATAAAGGAGGGAGGCTAAAACCAGAGAGGCCAAGGCGAGAAGCCACGGAGACGGCAGAGTAGCCATGTGAGAGAGAAAGATGTGAGATTATAACTGTGTTGTTCTTACCGACTGAGAGACGACGATCATAATCCGTGTGGTGATCCGATGGCTTTCCATGGAAGGGCAAGGCCCTTTTTATAATACCATCCATACTGGTGAGTGGTGACAGCCAAAGGGCAAGCTCAAGTCTTTCGCGGGGGTGATTATAATATTAGCAGTTCTGGATTTTCAAATATGAATAATATTAATATTCATGTTTTATTTGATAAAAGATCCAAATTAGAAGACTTTCAAAATATAAATAATGGTTCTAAAAACTAATGATAAATTCTGTTTCATTTTTTTTAATTGCACACAATGATTATTTTTCTATTACAGATGTATAGTCAAGATTACAAGATATGGGTACCTTTTTACGCAGGAATTTAAACGTTGATTCACTTGGCTGCGAGTATAAATAAGTTGTGTTGTTTGTAATTTACAAATAATATAACTTGCTTTAAATTTTATATTTTATAATAATGCATTACTATTTACTACGGATGATATATATTTAATCGGAATAGTGTTTTTTTGGTCATCAATAATACTTTATATGCACAAGAAAAGGAAGAGGTTTACGTGAAATATGGGACATCAGGAACCAAGGATGCATGGTTAACGATAGATTCTCTGAAGCAGAATGGCATTGATTTACATGCATATACTTTCAAGGACCAAGTACAAAAATTATTTATTCCGGAGGACCTCAAAGGCTCAAATCTATCATTGCAAATATATATTGAGTTCTTAAAAATGAATAATTTTTGGAGTTGGTCCTTGGAAATAATTTTGCCGCTACACTGGTGACAGTATCACATGTAACAAAAATTGGCATGGGAATTAATGGTGACGGCGGGGGGAGTTGACTTTTGATGGGAGTGGAGGGTGGTAGGTTGATGGAAATGCGGTGTGGGGTAGCTAAGCCCAAGTTGGTGTTGGGGTTGAAACTTTCAAATTTAAATCTCTGGTTAAACGAAACCACAGTAATAATGTTTGTAATCAATGGATTCAACATCAGCTCTCCTATGTTTGATTATATTTTCCCAACATTTGCATTTTCTTTTTTGGCAATTAATCTCACCCTTTGACTAACCTCCCTCCGTCGTTGTTTTAGTTTATACGCTTTGTCAATGTTTATTTGTGCGTCTTGCGACTTTCTTTATTTTATACTTAAGCACCATTATGTTTTGGCCACTATGTGATGATCTGACTTCCCTTTAACCCATTTTGTGATATCGTCATCAAATTTATATGGAGTTACTACACCATTTATGAGTTTTTTTTTTTGGCTAAGATTTCTATACGTGATTTTTCTTAAAAATTTCCTTCACCTTGCTCCACATCTTTCATTGAAAAGATTATTTTTATTCTCTCTGCTTCTTATCTTCCCACAACTCATTTGATGTTCTCAAGTCATTACACTCGATCGACCCATACTCGTAATGTTTTGCATGTTAATTAGTATGATGGCCGAGTTATTAACAAACTAATATATATAGTGGCGGACTCAGGATCAAGAGCCAAGAGTGTGGGATAATTTAATAAAAAAATTAATATTTTTTAAAAATAATAAATAAATTAATTATCATTTTTCTTCTCAAAAATTATAATGATTAAGTTGATATAATCTTTTATATAAATTTATTTTTCATATCTTATATAAACCATTAAACTATTTTATATTTAATAAATTTTTGAGCTCAAATATTTTTTTTATTTAGTCTGAAGGGGGCAAATAATTAAAAATAAGGAATACAAAGTTATAAAATTTTTATATTATATTTGTAATATTTCTCAAAGTGAGGGGGTGCATTTGCCCCTCTCATTAAGCCAATATATATAGATATATATATATATATATATATATGAAAAATGCCAATGGTACAGATTAATATTCATAACTTAATTGACAAAGTCATAAGCGTGACGTAGGTGACAACTTCCAGCATTATTTTATGATATTCATATATATCCACTCCACCTTAATTAGTAGGTAATGCTATAACCTGAACTAACTCCTCCCCTCTGTCTTTCCTTTTTATTTTTCAAAAATCATACGTAAGACTCTACCTTAAATAAATAAATGTTTTAAAGTATAAAAATATCAAAAAAAATTTCCTTTCAAAACTTTTAATATCTTTAAGTTAACAATAATATATAAGTACATATTAATTTTATAAAAAAAGTTAAAATTCCTCAATAATTCAACAATTATGTCACGCTATTTTAATATATTAAAAAAAGTTAACCTCTTTTATAAAATCAATAGATATCCACGTACTATTCTTAATTTAAAGAATACTATGAGTTCCTGTAGAAAAAATTCATTGGCTATTTTTACACCCTAATCCTAAATAAATAGATGGAATGAGACGCCTCATAACCAACGAAAAACGTGTTATGATGATAACATGACAAGAGAATTAGAATAGTATGCATGATATACAAATGTCAATTAAAAGTCAGGTGTGCACAAGGATATACAACATTATTAAAATTGAACTTAAAATTAAGGTTTGTATACAGATTTTTACTCATTCATTAAATTAAGTAATTGACTGTTGGTCAAACAAATTAAGTAATTGGCCAACATCTATTTGATTGAACGAGTTGAGACGGCAAATTAACTTGACAATGTAGATATACAATTTTTTTTATAACAACAGCAACAATTAAAAAAAAATCTTACCTCACGAACTGTTTGATTCGAATGAATTTTATTTTGTTATGAATATATATGATTTATATATGAAACCTTTAATGCATGGTTCGTCAAAACGATGCCATTATTCGCATGCAGACTAAAAATATTTCTGAACTGAACTCTAATCAACAAAATCATTCACGCGATATCAATTCAACCAAACCAATGAATCATAATCCTACTGGTGCAGACATGAAAACAACAGTATGAAGAGAAGCTAAGAGTAGTCTCTTCCATCAACGACAAGTTCATTCTCTTTTAGTCTTTTATATCAATTTTTTCCTCTGAAAATTCACAGACGTGGCCTTGGATTCTGGCTTAGAGAGTAGTCTTGGAGGGTTTTGTTTAATTTTTATAATGATTCCATTTTCAGGCAAAATCCCACAAGAACAAGTATATATATAGCCAAAGTGGAAGTGACAGATATTAAATATCCACGAAAAGTCTCAACTCGTGATATTAGAAAACCCTGTTTTAATATTGTTTTACAGCGCGCCGTATTCTTATATTTGCTTATACAAAACGAGAGCGAAATTTAGTTTATAATATATAAACAATTTAGGAGTTGACTTCAAACGATTCAAACAACTGAATATTGTTTTTGCACTCAATACATTATAGCAATATAACCAGGCCCAAATGAAAAACTTAACTGAGTTGGTTACAATTTTTATTATTTTGTTTCGTTTTCAAGAATCAACGTACACGGACATTTGTTCAATATATAAGATCATCATACGAAATTGCTGTCTCCCTCTATATTCTTCGTTTGAATCGTCACGAAAAATTATTAATCTGACTTTTCTGTATTTTTTATTTTTTTTTAATTCCGTGCCATTTGGATCAAATATATGAACGGATTTTTTTTAAAAAAGTTGACATTATTTCCATTTTACAATCTATTAGGAATGAGGAGCAATCGTCCAAAAATAAGAAAACAAATAGGCAAAAATAATGAAAAAAATGTAATATCTGTCTTAACATTATTAGAACAAACCACACATAATCACGCTATTATAGTAATTATGATTTGACTAATCATCTTTTTTACCATCATGATAGAAAAGGTTAAACAGATTTATAATTAAAAACATTTAAAACTGGTATTCCAATTAAAAATCCTTTATAAAGTGTTTGAAGTCAAACAAAAATATAAATCAGTATTTAAAACACTTAGGAAGCATGGCATAATATAAGAAAAGTTAATACAAGGACACAAGGACAAAAAGGTCATTTCATTCCAAACTAGTATGTGCACAGCAACTCATGTATCATCCGCCACAACAGATTACACAAAAAGTTACTCCTCACGCTATATCATGCACCATGATATGGACACCATGCTTTGCAAGCCATTATGCGGATCATGATAGCTCTTGGCTATCATAACATGTGATAGGATGAATTTATAAAGTGTGCCATTTTTTTCATCCAATATTTAATTAAGGTAATTCAACCACTCACATAAAACTTATATAATTATCTAACTCATAACACTAGTTTTATTTCAAAATGATATCTCATTTAAAAATTGAAAACCCAAATATAAAATGGTCACTTTTATAAATTTTTATACATCAGGTGCCCAATTACCATTTGCCTCAACTAAGACTTGGACCACAACTTGTGGATTATAATGACATACATTTAATTTGAACAGTTGAACCATCTAGGCTGCATCATGAAATAAGAATACACTACTACGTACAAAAAAGTCTATACTAAACACGTCTTGTTGGACAGTTATTTAGCTAATATCATTCAATATGTAAAGGCAGAAAATAATATTGGACGGTTATACAAAGAACTATCCAATCTTATATACATGTGTTAGATGGTTATCTTAAAAACCATCCAGTATGTGTAAACAGATTTGTAATAGTGATAATCAAGTCTGAAGTAACTTGTAGGTGATATATAAAATTGAATTTTTTTTTCAATCATATCATCTATAAATCTAAAGTGATAATTATTCGGGGGATCAGGAAACTAATGATAATCGATCTGAATTTATAAAAAATTTCATGGAGAATTAATAAGTAGCTGCTTGGTCAGGATATATACAGATCAATGACATGAGCCTTGGAGAAGGGACAATTTTCAAGGCAGAATTTTGAAAAGCAGCCAGCAATACATGCATGTGAATCTGAAGATAAAGAAGAAGATGCTTGATGCAATGAAGACGTGAATTGACATGTTAAAAATTTTTGTAAAAAATAATAGTAGTTTGCAATCTACAAAGGCACAGAACCTGGAATCTTTCGATGGTTTTGTATAATTCAGAAATTGACTCAGTCTCTGGCTAGAAGGAATTGTTGTCAGGGTTCGAGATAAGCACATTACTATTATCCCATAATTATTGATA